AAAAAAAAAAAAAAAAAAAAAACTTATATCCAAGTAACCCCTAAACTATATCCTAAACTCTGTTCAAATAACATCTCCTAAATAATCTGTTCAAATAACATCTTCAAGAGTTCCCCAAAAGAAGCAAGATTTACCAGTATAACTTTGATGATATTCACAAGTATTGACTACTGTAAAATAAAGCATAATTCACGTATCTTTTCACCTAGACTAAAGATTAAACTCAATCTAAGACAACAAATCATCTGATTAGCATGGCAAAACGCTCCAAGTAAACAAGTAAAATCATGTAAAACAAACAACAAACCAACTGAATCAGCTAACAAGTTTTCAGCATACAGCAAACAAAAGACCAGGTATTCCAGTTTCCACAAGTCTTAATCTTCATGCACTGTGGCCAATGATTCTATAACCTCACAAGAATCGTCCGATTTTACTGTGTTCTCGTTCACCGACTGGTCGAGCCGAGCATCAACAGGCACAGGCGGGATCTCGGTTTTCTTCTTTTCTTTGAGAATGACTTGCCTTGGCATGACTTCTAGTAAGAAATTACCACCGTTCCATACAGTTGCAGAGGCTTTAAGTACTTGAAAAGTGGCGTGTAATTCATAGGACAAGAAAATTGGAACCGTAAGTGCTGTCGTGGCCACAGTGAACATAGCCTGAAACAGAATGTACATGAACAATCGGTTTTGGTCCCCGAGCAACCCACTTAGGCGCCACCAAATGTTGTTTGCCTTCTGTGCTTTTTTAGAGAGCTCCCTAATAGATACAAAATCGGAAGATGAAACTAGATATCATTATGGTGAAGGGGAAAAATCGGAAGTAAAAAATTTCAAATTAAATTACGCAGAACTAAGTAATAAAGGAGAATTATAGAAACTGCCCTAGAGGTTTATAATCAAAACCATGTAAGCTAAGAAAAATGCCAGCAGCAATGGTGGTTTCAGAAGACGGTAAGGTCTCAGTGGTCGTTTTGTGATTCCTTTTAACTTGAACTAATTATCTTTCTCAAAATATAACTTCTTTTATTTTTTATTTTATTTATGAAATGGAGTGAACCCTGAAGGTATTGTCTTACAGTTAAATCTCCAAGTAATTTTCTTGCATATTCCAGTTCAAAGTGAGAAATATACGAGAAAGATTTGAACCTGTATGAAGTCATAACTTCTGGATCTCGAAGCAGTCTCTGTCTGCGTAGCACGTTCACAATGAGGAAATAAAGAAACTGCCACAAAAGGTAAGCAGCTAAAGGGACAAAGAAAAGCCATGTCCACAGATATGACTTGCTTTCTACGTAGGGCCACGATGCCCTGCGAGCCGTGCCCTCGGGATGCATGGCTTCAAAAAACACTGGGTCCCACCAACGGATTGTGAAGAAAACCAATCCTGAACGACAAAATGATGTGAAGATGAGTAACAGTTCCAGGATAGATAAAACACGAGTGCACAAGGATTTCCTAGTTTTATGTTTTATTTTCTTATTTTTATTTTTTATTTTTTCCCTTTTTGGTTCGGAAAAGGCAAAGTACAAAAGCAGTTCATAGATCAAAAGCATTATGGAGCTTCGCGGAAGCAAATTATAGTGGAAAGATCGTGAAACAGTAACCTCACATCAGATGTGTAAACGAAGAAAAAAGATATTAAGTGCTAAAGACAGAACAAAACAATCCAAATGTTTAGTTAATAGAACTCAGACCCAGGGAGGTACCTCCACCTGGGAGAGAAGTCAGTTTCATAATACCAAATCTATATCCAATTTTTTACGAGAATTTGGTTCCGCTTCATACATTTTTTTATGTTTTTAGAATTAGTTGCTCCTGATTTAAGTTTCTTCATGTAACTCCAATTATGTTAAAAGTATCTCCTATACAGAAGTAGCCATGAGCCAGTACATGATACGAACCATATCCAACAGAAAGAAGATCGCCTAACGAGAAAAAAGACAAAAGGAAAAAAGGTTTTGGAGGCATGATTTCGGGCATACTTGAGACATCAATATAATTATAACACCTTGGCGTTTATGGTTACCATTTAATGTCGGGATACAAGCCGCCAGTTATCAGTAAATAATGTGTCATAAAAACTACGAGCCTACAGGAACTATCAACCAGCAGGTAGTTCAATTGAAGGAATAAACTACAACTTCTCAAACGACTAGAAAACTATTGAACCAACAAAACTATTGAACCAACAAAGATCGACGGGAATCATTTTGATTTTTAATTTTTATGAAAGGATTGTCTTACCAGGCAGGAGATGTATAAAGACGCTCACGATTTTGTCCATAGAATTGAAGACCAAGCTACACCGCCAAACAATTAGTGCCCAGGCCAATGGTCCCTGCACACATTTGCATATCAAGAAAGAAAAATATTGTAGCAAAAGGAGTGCCGTGTCGTAAGGCAGAACAAATCAACAGCAAGTGCGACTGTTTACCTCTGCAAACGAGAAGCAAACCATGAAAAGCTTCTCATTTCTGGGATAACAGAGAAGCATGATCAAGAATATCGTGTTCGCATAGTAGCAAAAGTCCTGTAGGGGAAAACCTCACGAGTTAGTCGTCAATGTCTTATCTGTCTTAGATGGTCAAGTATCCACGTCTAAAAATGAATACTGCAAAACAATGTTTACAACTTGAAAGGGAGCCAGACAAAGCATTCGAATTTAAACTCGACGATAAGATTTATACGAGGTGATGCCTCGAATACAGAGCCTATATAACTTTTGAAACAAAAAAATACATCTTAGTAAGAAGAAATTCTGCAGAATTTTTACGAGATGGTGCCCCATATACAGAGCCTACATAACTTTTGAAAAAATAAAAAAAAAAATACATCTCAGTAAGAACAAATTCTGCAGTATATGTTTACAGTTTTCCAACTTACCCAAATCACTGAGCAAAAAATAGCTAAGATAGTGGTAGTTTGATTTTATAATCAGTTGAATTTAGCTTCCCAATCACCAATCTTACATTCTGAACTGCAATTAAATGCAAACAAAAAAACAATATGCACAGACCACATGGATGATGAAACTTACCAGAAGATAATAGTGCCATTTCTTGTATCGGTAATAAATCCACCTAAGTGGGACGAAAATTACATAGAACAAGCAATACAGATACCGAACATCCTGGGGCCCTGATGAAGCAAAACCACAAAAAACGCAAATTCAAGAAACAATTGCAATCGGTAGTAACAACGTTATACTCTGGTCTCTGGGACCCTTTCTTTATACTCACTTGCACCCAAAATAAAGCAGAAGCCTCCAAATCCAAGAACACCCAGCAAATGTGTCACCTATATTTTCATCAATCCCAGATCAACACAAACAAAAATACTACAAATTGTCAAGGGAGCTCAGTTACAGTCAAGTTTCTTACATATTACGCACATGTGATTATGTAACCAACAATCAGTTAGAAAATTAACGACATTTGAATGCACACACAAACACACACACACACACACACACACACATTCTGATGCCTGATACCTTGTTGATGAACCTCTCGTGCTCCTCGGCCTGTTTAGCTATCTTAACGGCTTGTTTGGATAAAATCTCCTTGGTTTGAACTGCTTGTTTAGACAGCATCTCCTTTGTCTGAGCCACTTTCTAAAAAAAAAAAGAAAAAAAAAAAAATCAAACCCACCCCACATCATTAAAACCATCAAAACCTGCAATCAAATTCAAATGGAAAATACCCAATAGCCCATATCACAAAAAACGCCCAAATCGACTATACCCGCAACAAATCTTCGATCTTTTTCGAACAACCCAAACACTAAAACTACACACACATACATATACATATACGAGGTAAATTCAAACACGAAAGCCCTACCTTAGACGGATCTTTGAGCCTCAGCTTAACCTTATTTCCGTACGAATAGCCGTTAGAATCCTCCACCTCCATTGTCTCTTCACTGCCGGCCATGAAAACTCCTTACGAAATCTTGAATTTCGTTTCAATAATCACCTTTTTTTTTGGGAGGAAATTAGAAAGAGGGCAATTGGATTATGCTTCAAGAAATTGCCTTTTGTCCGCGAATAATATATATATATGTGTGTGAAAAAACGCGTAGTTTCTTCAACCGGTTGCTTGGTTTGAGTGCAGAAAATATTTATTAATAAACAAAGATTTTATTGATCTTGTGATGATTGCCGTCGTTAAGCTCTGCTAATTTTTCATAGAATATTCGTAATAAAGCTAAAATTAGTATACTGCTTTATGGAGGTAATGACGACGGTCGGATTTGTGGATTAAAATAATAAGTATGAAATTTGATTTATTAATAAACCGAGTGTGTCTTGTTGGAATCTACAATCGAGCATTACCCTGTTGGGGTCTTTGTGTGTTTGTCTGTTAGTAGTTTTTTGTGTTTTCTGTTTATTACCCTGTTGGGGTCGGTTCTAGGCGGTTGGACCTGTCCTCCCACTTTTTCAGCCGTTTGTTGTTTTTATTCAGCTATTAGTTGCGTTATATTCAGCCGATGACTGTCTTTTGCACATTTGTGCTAGTAATATAATATTTTGTGGTTTCGAAAAAAAAAAGTTTTCTTAAATTATATATTTTAAAATCATATAAAACAGATGGTTACATGTTTATTTTATGAATATTTACGTAGTTATTTGGTGGGCAATATTCATAATGGCCATGACCCATTTTTACAACCAAAAAAAAAAAAAAAAAGAACAAATAGTTTTAAGGTTGTAGCTTCTGGATTTTGTTCCCATCTCTCGAGAATAATTTTGCAGACATCATCATCATCTACTGTACTTCTATATTTGAAATCATTGAAGTCATGTCAATTAGGAGTGGGCAAGGAAATAAATAGGATGGGGACGAGTGCATAGAATGGGCCAATTTCCCACAATTTAAAGGGTGATCGGATATAAATTCAATTAGTAAAAAATTAGATTTTTTTAATTATAGTTAAGTTTAAAAAAAAGTAGTATGATTAGTTGTTAGTTGATATATTAAAATAATATTTAAATTAAAATAATTAAAGTTGATTTGATGTAAAAGTAGGAGAAAATGATTAGAAGTGATGGTTAGTTAAAATTATGTAAATGGATAAATAATGAATTAAAGTTGATGTGATGTGTAATAATGATTTGTTGATATTATTTAATTATATTGATAATATTGGAGATAGTGAAGTTGAGTTAAATTTGAGTTTTGAGTAGGATATCTACTGTAGAATTAATAAACAATTACGCCCTAAACACCCCTGGTGAGTAAAAGCTTCGAAAATCGAATCGGTCATCGAACCGATGATGCTACTGGTTCAGGGTTCACTAGTTGGATCAGTGGTCGAATCGGTTCAATTAATATATAAATTTTATTTTTTTTATATGTGTATATATAATTATATATATTTATCATTATTTTTATAGTGTATAATGATATTTTTTCTTAATAGATAAAAGAAAAAAAAAAATAAAAAAAAAACGTGAATAGTCCATCTATTTTTACTACATTTCTGTTACGATATTAATAAGTAATATTCTTTTCATAAAAATTAATGTAATTATAATGGACGAGAAATTAAATCAGGTATCACCATATATTTAAAGTTATTCAAATGATAGATTAGTAAGGCAATAAGCAAAAAATAATTAAAAAGTTAAAACTATTCTTTTTTTTTTACTATTCTGATTAAATTAATTAGCTCAATTGATAATTTTATAAGTGATGAGATGATCCAGAATTCATGAACAAATGCATTTTGATTTAAAAATAAGTGATATATGGAAATTTTAGCAAACATAAGGAAATTTTAATAAAACAAGTAACACAACATGACCTTTGTTGGACTTTAAATGCATGCATGATCAAAACTATTCGTATGACAAAACTGTTAGGCCCAACAATCATGGCCTGATATTTCAGCAACTCTTTAGTTGTTAAGATCCCACATCGAAGCAACAAACAAAACAATCCAGATATATAAGTGATTTTGCTACGTTGCATGTAAGTTACAAAGCCACCTAGTCGGACAAACCTCTATCTGTTTAGCGATTTTATCGGTTTTAACCAGTTCGAAAGGTTTTTAGGCGGTTTCAAGCTCGAGCGGTCCACATCCAAAGTTGCTGCTTTAGTTGGCGATTTTGATGACTCTATGGAGAGTAGGGATATTGTTGGAATGTCACTTGTGAGTTGTCCCACATTGATTTGATAGGGTAAATAGGCCTAACTTATAAGCCTAGTGGGCTACTCCTCCTATTACCAATTGGTTTTGGGATGGAACCTCACTTGGGCTTCATTTGGGCTAACCCTCTTATGGTGCGCTTCACCTGTGTGGGACCGCACTCATATTGCCCCCGTTTGACAGATATTTTAGTCAAAACTCGGAGTGGACGTCTGCAACGGATAAACGAGTTGAACGCTTCATACCTTGCTCTTTCCATATGGTGAGGATGGATACAGGGAAGACATTCGATTCTTTCCCTTCAAACCCACTACGGCAAAGTCAAGGAAGTTTATCACTTCATTGGAGTTCTTCCAATATCGAATGCACGATCGTGACAATGAACTGTCGACGATATATTTTGCTTGGAGGTTGTTTCAACAGTTCGTTGTTGATGCGTATACAATGGTTGAGGGTGCTCGGCTGAGATATATCCGTTTCAACCAAAAAAAATTGAGAACTGAATTGTACAGTCGTCTCAACGATGTTGTGTTGCAGGGTGATACCAATCTGGGTTCTCAAGGCAAACGTATTATTTTGCCGTCGTCTTTCACCGATGGAGCGAGGTATATGATTCAGAACTATCAGGATGCGATGGCCATTTGTCGTTAGACTGGTTATCCTGCTATATTCATAACTTTCACATGTAACCCTAAGTGGCCTAAAATCAGTCGATTCCTTTCTAAGAAAAACCTCAACCCTGAGGACCGTCCATATATTATTTGTCCTGTCTTTAAGGAGAAGTTGGATGCACTGATGAGGGATGTTCGGCATAACAAGATGTTTGGGGAGCTGAACGCTGGTATTTTTATTAACATTCATTTTCAAATTTAATATAACATATACTCTTAATTTTGTTGTTTTGAACAAATTTTAGTGTTTTTACTATTTTTTTATGCAGCGATATATACTATTAAATTCCAAAAGCGTGGTCTTCCGCATGCTCATATATTGTTATTTCTGGCTAAAGAATAAAAGGTGCACACTACTGATGGCATAGATAAAATCATATCTGTTGAAATACTGGATGAAGCCACTGATCTTTTTTACTACGCCGTTGTTAGAGATCATATGATGCACGGCCCATGTGTAAGTGTTCGACCGAAATCTTCGTGTATGGCGAACGATCGTTGCACCAAAAATTTTCCAAAAAACTTCTCAGAAACCACCACGCCTGATGAAGAAGGCTATCTACGATACAGGCGTCGAGACAATGGCAAGACCATAGAAAAGAACGTTGTTCCACTTGACAACAGATACATTGTGCCGCATAACAGAACGTTGTTGCTTAAGTACGATGCTCACATAAATATGGAGTGGTGCAACCAGTCGAGGTCAATCAAATATTTTTTTCAAGTACGTGAACAAAGGCAACGACCGCGTGACTGCCACTTTATATCAGAATAATGGCGATGAGTCGTCTAGCAGACCGGTCGATGAGGTGTAGATGTACTATGATTGTAGGTACGTTTCATCGTGTGAGGCTTCGTGGTGATTGTTAGACTATGAGATTCAGTAAAAGCACCCTTCAGTTGGGCGCTTGAACTTTCATCTTGAGAACGAGCATCCGTGCTACTATGACGATAAAGCTCCCATCGATGAAGTCGTGGAGAAAAATAAAAATGCGGCGAGCAAATTTTTGGCATGGATGGAGGCGAACAAGAAGTATCCCAAAGCCAGAGAACTTACATATGTTGAGGCTCCCACTCACTTTACGTGGCACTCAGAAACGAACAGTTGGGAGCCCAGGAAAGGAGGAGATCGAATAACACATTTGTATTTTGTCCCCCCTGGTGCTGGAGATATATATTATTTGAGGTGCCTTATCAACGTTGTTCGAGGGGCAACATGCCATCGTGATTATATGAAGTTGGATGGTGTCCAACACATTTCGTACCGCGATGCGTGTTTTGCCCTCGGTTTGGTGGAGGACGACAAAGAGTACATTGGCGGCATTATTGTGGCTAGCCAATGGTCTAGCGCAATAAGTTTGAGGAACCTCTTTGCTACTCTTCTGTCCTTTGATACGCTTAGCTGGCCGGAGTGTGTATGGGGACACGTGTTGGCCTTACATATCCGATGACTTATTATATAATCGGCGAAGACTTTTACAGCATCCATGTAACCTATTTAATTTAAATTATATAAGTTTGTGTTTTTATAGATTTTTTATTTGTCCTTAGGTTGATTTGTTTTGTCTTTTCAGATTTGGTGTTGAGCGACGAGCAGATAAAGAACCTTACTTTGGTCGAGATTGAGAAGATATTGCAGACATGGTACCAGTTTACGTGAATACTGTAAGTTCTGAAGATTAGCAGTAAATCGATGAACCTTATGGTGTTCACATGATTCAGAAAAACGAAAGAGTATTTAAGGGAAGTTTGTTTTAGATTGAATAGAAGGTCTTTTTATTTATTATTATTAATTGATTAATAATAATAAGTGTTTATTATGGTAGGTCTATAAGGGAATAAACTCGAGATTCGCCTTCCATAATCACAAGAGAGAGATTGCGGCCTTGAGGATCAAGAGACCTTCCTTATGTGCACCTTATTTTGGAGACTAAGAAAAAGAAGAGACTTACCAAATGAAGCTTGAAGATAAAAGGAGGCTGAGACTTATGTTGAAGACGACTTTTCATCTTGGTTGATTATATTTTTTTTTTTTTGTATTTATGAGAGAAGTCATTATTCAGTTTGTTTTATTTGTGAGAAATTGAACAGAGTGTTTGGAGGTTCATTTT